TGTTGTTTTATATAAGAAAATTCGAGATAGTTTAGGGGAGATCACTCGCGGTTTATTTTATTTCTATTCATTTTAAGTCCTACTTTGGACGATGCTTCAGATAGTCGATTAAAAAACAAATATGTTATGTTTTAGTTCATTAAAAAAATTAAATCTATGAAATATTTAATTTTAGTATGCCGTTAGATAGCATAGAACTGCAATAAAACATTCACCACACATTTTTTTATAAAGAGCACATTTCTATAGTAATAACAAAGAACCGCATTTATTTAATTAATAATTGAGACACATGATACAACTATGAAGCTGAAAATGAATCTCTTATTCAAATGTACACGCCATACGCACCACAGACAAAATATACATGTTTGCACATGTGTTTGTATTTTTCTGCATGTTTGTAAGTGTTTTTCAGTGTCAAGTTACAGTACTGTATACTAATGAAAGAATCGTTTTAAAAATAGTATTTTTACAAAGTCCAATATCATACAAAGTTTTAAAAGCTCTAAGACATGTGGGTTCAAATCCCGACTGCACGGGTTAGATGTGGGGCCGGACATTTTTCTAAAAGTATCTAGGAAATATTTACATTTGAGTGAAACAGAAAACCAGGATAGCCTGGTCGAGTGGTAGAGCGTTCGTCTGCTTTCCCGGAGGTCTCGAGTTCGGGTACCTGGCTAGAGTCGCATCACGTCCCTTCGTCCACCCAACTCTGACCTAAAAGTGAAGACGGTTGGGTATAGTGCTGAACATAATACACCCGCTTAAGGGTATTGTAGTGTACCAGGAATAAACACATAAATCTCTCCTTTTGTCGACTGGTATTTCATTCAGGTATACAGGCAATTATTTATTTAAGAAAAATTAAAAAACTGAATTAATCCCTCAGTAGGCGGTTCAAAAAACGTAAGAAGGGCACACGAGAGTAATTCAATTATATTCCCTTAAACGAAGAATACTTTGTTAGAAAAGGGAAATAACTAGCAAAACATTATTATATTTCAAAAAAAAATAATTCAATAAAAAGTAATTTAGAAAAGTGAAAAAGCTTATTTATATATACTTAAATAAAACAATTAATACTGTGATTTAAAAACGTATATAGTAAATTGAAGATAAAAATATAAATCAAAACTTTTTTCTCATAAATCAGACACATTAGCTTTATTTAAAGAATAATATCAATAATTACTTTACATTTATATTACACAATGCTCAATTTTACCTTTCTATTCTTAAGGATTCCTCACACCAGAAAATAAAAATCATTAAAAAAGTTTTTAAAAACCCACGTTTTCTGATTGAACTATGAAAAACGTGGGGCGCCGAAGTAAAAGTTATATTACTATTGATTAGATAATACTATTGACTTTTATAAGGGAGCTTGTAGAGAGTCAACAGTTTTAGAAACTGTAAGAAAATCACGGCGCCCCACGTTTTTCATCGCTTATAGTAGAGTGATCGCTTGCATTATTGTGATGTATAGCATTTTTTTTTTACTTTTTAGTTCAATCAGAAAACGTGGGTTTTTTAAAACTTTTTTAATGATTATTATTTTCTACTTTTTAGTCTTTGTCTGTTTGTTTGCATTAAAATCTTGCTATCGATTTTATCTTTTCACTTTTTTTTGGGTAAACGAAGTCAACTCGTAAAAAGACAACTCGTAAAAAGACAACTCGTACAAAACACGTTGTGTGAATACGTTACTGACTAGAACACATAGATTTGAACCCGTGTCGAGTGGGATAGCAATCGTGTGCCCAACCACTCGACCATATCGTCTCCCCCATACTGGCCACCAGTTGTTACGGTTCTTTGTACACAAATTACAGTTACTGGGTTATGTCCCTTTTTCCCCACGTTTTGACTACAACGAGCCGACCCGCGGCGTATCATACGCCGCTATTTAGTTGATTTATTTTCTACTTTTCAGTAATTCATAATTTGTGAATTCGACAGTACCAATGCTGCCACTGAAAATATTTGCTTTAAAACACTAACCCCCCTCCTTTCCCGTAACCCCGACCCTACACCCCCCCCCCCCCCCCGTGAAAGCAGCCTCCTCATAGTTACCTCCTGTAAGTTTAAAGTCGGTTCAAACTAAATTATCTGCCCCTAATAGCCTTCACTAAACCTGGCTGTACGGTTTGTAAACATTAACGTGACCACAGCTCAGCAGATCATGTAGGGGTGGGGTAGGGTGGTATTGATAGTGATAGAGAGAAAGAGAGGGGACTGTAAGGAGCCGCTTGCAGCTTGTTTTCTAATGGCTCGCAGAGGAGAATTATATATATAGATTATATAGCGGTCTAAAATGCTCAATAAAATGTTTCCATGGATCAATTTAGTAATAATAACAATTGAATATTCTAATGTCATCCAAAACAAAGCTTCCCTGAAAATTTCAGCGCGCTAGCTAACTGGGAAGTGCCAGAAATTTCGATCGCAAGATTTGATTGGAAAGACAAACAAACAGAGACGAAAGCAAGTTAAAGAAAACGTGGGGAAAAAAATGGGATAGATTAAAATATTAACGTCTCGATATGTGTAATGGTCAGTCAGTGGACATCTAGTGTTCAGTCATACTATTACAGTCGGGGTCGTGTTGTCAGGCACCTCTGCCCTGTCTGTTAAGTGCGTAAAAAACTATATGATATGCAACTGGTGGGGTGTTAACGTATGTTATGCAACCGTTAGAGGCCACACTATAGCCTGGCACCTGGCGGAAAATAAAATATTGCCCATTTAGTGCATTTATATGGTGTCAATGTGTCAATGCAGGGTGTTATAGTATAAAATACATACTTTTATTTCCGCATAAATGTTGTTATATATATTTATATGTGTATATATGTATGTATATATATATATATATATATATATATATATATATATATATATATATATATATATATATATATATATATATATATATACACACATATATATATATATATTTAAATATATATATATATATATATATATATATATATATATATATATATATATATATATATATATATATATATATATATATATATATATATACATATATATATATACATATATATATATATACATATATATATATATATATATATATATATATATATATATATATATATATATATATATATATATATATATATATATATATATATATATATATATATATATATATATATATATATATACTTATCTACTTTTTAGCATTTCTGTCTAATTAAAAATAAGTTTAATCACGCCAAAACAAGGTCTGCCTAATTAAATTTTTATTAAAAAATGTAATTACTTTATTGTTTGTCAAGTGTGATGAACAGTTTTAACATCCTGGCTTTATCGGCTCTTTACGACCGTCTACATGATATGTTTTTTTTTTTTTTTACTATAGTTTACAATATTAGCTGTTGGGGTAAAAGAGTTTGACTAACAAGTTAAAAGCAACTTGTAAGACAATTTCAAAAGCTACATTAAAAACTATAGCATGTTAATGACGGTGGGAAGCCTATTTTTAAACTTGACTTCAATAACTGTGACTAAGCTTACCCTAAACCATTCCAACTGATTTTTTTTCTTTTGTGTGGGAAATGGGAGGGGGGTGTGGGAACACATTTCACTGGCTATTATCCTGCGTTCTGGATTCAGCAATCTAATTGTAAGTTAACTAGCAGTTTTCACCCGTTGAGGAAAAAACCCCACGGGCACTAGGCTGTTATATTTTAAACAAATCTGAATTAAGAATATTGAGAGGTTTACGTTTAGGTTTTTTATTTTTAGATTTTAGGGTTGGGGTTGCTGAAATATGTTGTTGTGGCTTGCAATAAATTAAATTTTAGTTCGAAAAAAAAACCTTTTTAAAAATCGTTTGGTTGCGTTTAAGGTTTAAAGTTGTCTTGGATTTGGCTAAGCTATTTTTTAAAAATATTTGGTTGTGTGTAGAGATATATCATCAAATGAACGCGTTAAGGTTAGAGTTAGGTTTTGTACCACATAACCTAAATTTTCGCAGATCTCAGATAAAACAAAAACAAAAAATTAGCATAAAATATGGCAGCCACACAAGGAAAAGTTTTGCTCGATTAGCGCTATAAAAGAGCTCCACGCCACTATACACCACAACGAAATACAAATTGCTAAAACTGTCCCAATCAAAAAATACTCATACAAAACACGTCTGATTATGATGTAATGCAGTTATTCCTCATGTTATTTGCATGCTTGTGTGTATGTGTGTATGTATGTATGCGTGTGTACATGTCTATGTAAATAATTTTATTTGTACTACAACATGTAGTACAGTAATTACTACCAACCTTGATGATACATCCTCTAATGGTCCAGGCTAACGCCCGACCACACATTTAAAATGTTGAGCAACGCTTGTCTCCAGTTCAAAAGGTCGTCTCTGCCATTATCTATTTAATAAGCTCGATCATGCAAATGTCACATGTGCTACGAGGACCTGTTGCCTCAGTTAATTACACAGACAGTTTACTTATTTCTCTTGTCAGCAGTGTTTTAGTTTTCAGAAACGTAAGTGTGAATTTCATTTTTTTGTTCTTGTCTTAGTTTATTTAAAAATATATTAACACTATAGACAACATATAAGATTAGTTAAACGTTGTTGCAGTTGAAGTAGAGTTCACCTTTTTCTGTCACAATAGCATATGCCTACATGTTTTTACTTTAACAAACTGTATCAGGTACCATCATAGTTTGACTAAATCCTACGTGAACTAGAGTCAGGGATCCGCTCTAGAGATTTTAGGGTTACAAGTCATAAAACCTACCGTCCGACCACGCCGTACCAGATAAATTATTACAACAGCGGTTACTTTGTTTTTATGCAATAGTTTTTATTTTTTATTTTTACTTAAATATGTTCCATTTTGTTTTATCATATCGTTACGATGCCTTAAATTATGAATCCTAAAAAATATTTGTGTTTCGATTAAACCAACTTTACAGAAGCTGAGCTTTAATTTTCCCGAACACCTAACTTATTTGCGAATTAAGTGAATGATTAAATGGTTAACGAAATGTATTTCTATCAAGCAGGTAGATAATCAAATACATAATGGGAGACGAAGCTGTCCCTGGTTGGGTACGTATAGTTATAATTTTCTGCATGTCAAAGCTGGTTTAGATCCAGTGGCGTCGCTAGGTGGGGTGTAACCTGGTGCGGTAACTAAGGGTGTCACCCCCATCCCCTCCAACAATTTTTACTTTTTCGTTTTCGTTTCACCCCTCTCCCCCCCCCCCTCATTTTGTTATTATTTTACCTGGATAAACATGATTTTGACATAAATTTTACGATATTTTAATTGTGTGTCATCTCCTAAATAATGTCAGTCGGTGAGGACCGTACATTGCCCCCCCCCCCTCCCACGCCTCATCTTTGTGAAGCCACTGCTTAGGCCTATACAAATAGTTCACTGTAGTGTATTTTTTTAAAGTGAGTATGTATATTTATTTAAATGGATGGGACAACATAAATTTCCTAATTAAAGAAATATTAACTAACGCTTTCTAATTTCAATTGGCCATAATTACAGAAACAGCTGAAACGGAGGTTTGGGTTTTTCGACAACGCCGGAATTAAAGACGCAGCCGGAAATCTGTTGCCGATGACGCGCATGCCCGATGGCCGAATTTTCCCGCCTTTTGGTGAAGAGTACATCAACAACGTGAGTAAAGCTAGGCTGCGGGCAGACGACATCTTGCTGTGTGGATATCCCAAGTCTGGTGAGTCGGTGTGGGTGTTGTCATGATGATAACAGGCTGTTGTCATGGTGTTTGGTGTGTTGTCAGGGTGTCTGGTTGTTGTCATGGTGTTTGGTGTGTGGTCAGGATGTCTGGTTGTTGTCATGGTGTTTGGTGTGTGGCCAGGATGTCTGGTTGTTGTCATGGTGTTTGGTGTGTTGTCAGGATGTCTGGTTGTTGTCATGGTGTTTGGTGAGTGGTCAGGATGTCTGGTTGTTGTCATGGTGTTGGGTGTGTTGTCAGGGTGTCTGGTTGTTGTCATGGTGTTTGGCGTGTTGTCATTGTGTCAGATTGTTGTCATGGTGTCAGGTTGTTGTCAGGGTGTCTGGTTGTTGTCATGGTGTTTGGTGTGTTTTCAACGTGTCTGGTTGTTGTCATGGTCTTTGGTGTGTTGTCAGGGCGTCTGATTGTTGTCATGGTGTTTGGTGTGTTGTCAGGGTGTCTGGTTGTTGTCAGGGTGTCTGGTGTGTTGTCAGGGTGTCTGGTTGTTGTCATGGTTTTTGGTGTGTGTTCAGGATGTCTGTTTTTTTTTCATGGTGTTTGGTGTGTTGTCAGGATGTATGGTTGTTGTCATGGTGTTTGGTGTGTTGTCAGGGTGTCTGGTTGTTGTCATGGTGTTTGGTGTGTTGTCAGGGCGTCTGATTGTTGTCATGGTGTTTGGTGTGTTGTCAGGGTGTCTGGTTGTTGTCAGGGTGTCTGGTTGTTGTCATGGTGTTTGGTGTGTTGTCATTGTGTCAGGTTGTTGTCATGGTCTTTGGTGTGTTGTCATGGTGTCAGATTGTTGTCATGGTGTCAGGTTGTTCTCAGGGTGTCTGGTTGTTGTCATGGTCTTTGGTGTGTTGTCATGGTGTCAGGTTGTTGTCATGGTGTCAGGTTGTTGTCATGGTGTCAGGTTGTTGTCATGGTGTCTGGTTGTTGTCATGGTCTTTTGTGTGTTGTCATGGTGTCAGGTTGTCGTCATGGTGTCTGGTTGTTGTCATGGTGTCAGGTTGTTGTCATGGTGTTTGGTGTGTTGTCATGGTGTTTGGTGTGTTGTTAGGGTGTCAGGTTGTTGTCATGGTGATATCAGGTTTTTGTCATGGTGTTTGGTGAGTTGTCAGGGTGTCTGGTTGTTGTCATGGTGTTTGGTGTGTTGTCATGGTGTTTGGTGAGTTGTCAGGGTGTCTGGTTGTTGTCATGGTGTTTGGTGTGTTGTCATGGTGTTTGGTGAGTTGTCAGGGTGTCTGGTTGTTGTCATGGTGTTTGGTGTGTTGACAGGATGTCTGGTTGTTGTCAAGTGTGATGTCAGATTGTTGTCGGAATGTCTTCATGATGTTAGGTGTGTTGTCAGGATGTCGTCACAAAGCGAGCAGTTGTCAAGTGTGATGTCATGATGAGGTCAGGATTTTTAGATAGTGTACTTTGGTGTCATGATGCTATGAAGATGATATTCACTTGTTGTGAAGATGTGTCCCTATGTTGTCATAATAATTAAAGACTGTGCTCAATATGGTTACCTGATAATGTCTAAATGTTGCTGCGATTTGTGAAGAAAAACAAGTTGTACTCTTCTCTTAAACCATATTTTACTAAGCGTCAACACATGTATGTGGTTTATTAACCAATGCAAGATTAGTGTATTCACTCTAAAATTTAAATACCTGTTTTTAATAAGGAAATTCTGAATAAAAAGGGTAAAATCGTTAACTAAAATGTCGATACAATAATTGACAAAACAACATTCTATTAATATGCCAAATGACTTAAGTGTATAAGCAGATACACCATTTGAGAATTAAAATAATACTGCTTCTCGACCTGAACGTTTTAAATAAACATAGCTTACAGTTTCGCCCATGGCCTAATCAATAAACATTGCCTGTCATTGTTACATATTTGTCCTACTTCTTGAAAAGATATATGTAAAAGGTTTTTTTTATATTTTTTTTATTAACGATTACCGTAGTGTAGTCCTTATTTTGTGTTACTTAAACCAGTGGTTCTTAACCTGGGTTCGATCGAACCCCAGGGGTTCGGTGCAGTATTTCTTCCAGACTTTTTTTCTCTGGGGGGGGGGGGGGGAGGCGGACTTAAATTTTCGGTGGAGAGGAGAGGTGGACATTGGTAAAAGTATATATGTTATACATAAACTCTATTTCATTCGTGGGAGACGGTAGACGTTTTTCGGGAGGGTGGGGGGGGCTCAGTTCCGTCGTCGTCGTCGACGTTTCCCCCCCCCCCCTCCCCTCCGAAGAGATACCAGGAAGAAACTCTCGTTGGAGATCAATGCACACCCGACTCGTAATCATTCGTGATAGAATTTTGTCATCGGACGAAAAAACTTTAGAAGGGTTCGGTGAATTCGCATTTAAAACTGGTGGGGTTCAGTACCACCACAAAAGTTAAGAACCACCCCTTTAAATAAAACTTCTTCATTGCCGTATAGATCTACCTACATTACCTGTAATTCATATTTTCACACTCAGGCAGTCACTGGACATGGGAGGTAATCGTGAAAATTCTGCGAGTCAAGCAAGAGTTACCGGACGTTGACAAGACCGATCTGATGCTGGAACTGGTGGAGCCTAGTGTCTATGACGCCGTGCCCTCACCCAGGGTGCTAAACACGCACGTGCTCTTTGATGAGCTTCCAGAAGAGGTTGGTATTTATTTATAGAAAGTAACTTACCCTAAACAATAACCATAGTCAGCTAACAGTCAGCTAATTTATAGCGCGTGGCAGCTGACTTGAGAAACGAGTTAGGTCTCATGAAGTAAGTCGGAAAACTTTCTTGGTTCCATCCAGACCTAATAATTACCTCGAAGGAAGTGGATAGTAAATACTGCTGGATATAGAATCTGACCACACACCCCATATAGTACACACTGGCAAAAATTTTCTTTAGCTGAACAAACTCTACTTTATCTTTTCTTTCAAACTAGTCCTTCGTGGAGGGTCTCAAAACGTCCCTTTATAAACCTGATATTGTATAAAGATATTTATTTAAATCACCAAACTAATCTAATTTAGTTTGAAAGATATAACGACATAGAACAGCAAAAGTAAATCATCGCCCCCACTTATCTAATTACATCCTTACGTGGCTAATTACCTAACCAGATAACTTATTACCTCTCCACACAACTAAATATTTCCACGTATAACAATTCACCACCCCACATAAAGAATTAACTCCCGCACATAACTAGTTACCTCCCCACATAGCGCATTAATTCCCCACAAAATGAAACCTCCCCATATAGTGAGAATTAACTTTCAACATAACGAACTAACTCTGCACATATCGAATAAGCTCCCCACATAGCGAATTACTTCTCAAACATTACTATTTATCTCCCCAAACTAATTATCTCCCCACACACTAATACCTCCCCACACGTGAATCCCCCCCCCCCCCCCACACACACACACATAAATTACCTCCCCACACATGAATTACCTCCCCACACATGAATTACCTCCCCATACATGACTTACCTCCCCAGACATTAATTATCTCCCCATACACTAATACCTCCCCACACATGAATTATCTCCCCACACACTAATACCTCCCCACACATGAATTACCTCCCCAGATCACCAAGCTAAAGAACAAGATCATCCTGACTGCCCGAAACCCAAAGGACACCTCCGTATCCCACTACAACCACCACGCCCTGCTCCCCACACATTAATACCTCCCCACACACTAATACCTCCCCACACATGAATTACCTCCCCACACATGAATTACCTCCCCACACATGAATTACCTCCCCACACATGAATTACCTCCCCAGATCACCAAGCTAAAGAACAAGATCATCCTGACTGCCCGAAACCCAAAGGACACCTCCGTATCCCACTACAACCACCACGTCCTGCTCAAGTATGTCTTCAACTACAGCGGTCAATTCGAGGACTGGATTCACCTGTGGATTAACGGGCTCAGTAAACAATACAACTTTAGTTTATCAATAGATCACCTCATTAAACCCTCTTCTTAAAATGCTGTAGCTTTTCTAACAAGACGTAAAGAAGAGTTCACCTGCCCGCAAACCATTACTTTCCCCAATTCGAAAGATACCCAATAAAGCTGGATTATATCTTTACTCTAACCAGTGAACCGAACTCGAGATTTTCTGGTTAGTAATTGTGCACTCTACCACTCGACCACCCCGTCTCTTTTCTTGTCAACCTACAATGGCTACAGGTACAGAACAGGCCAGATTTCATGTCCCTTTCGTCTCATGTCCCAACTGACACAGTTCAATCCACAGGGATATAATCTTCACCTCTTGTTGAAGTAAACACCAAATAAGCACCAAAACAAACGATTTTGTCTTCTTAAAACTTTCATAAAATTGATATTTCCATTTTTCTAACTTTTTCATGTTATTTACCAAATATTTAGCTGATTATGGCGGCTTCCTGGAATTTCACCAAAATTGGGATCAAGCGATCCGGGAAAATCCGGATATCCCTATTCTAGTGATGTTTTATGAGGATATGAAAGAAGTAAGATATGTATTTACAAAATTGAGTTGTAAATCACATAGACAAATTCTTTGTAAATTTCATCTACATTTAAAATGTGTATCTGGGTGTATAATTTTGTAAACACTAACCATCTTGTGATAAAGGTAACAAAATATTTTTTTAATAAAACGGTCATGGAATTGGTAATATAAGTGTAAGTCATTGAAGAGACACAAACATTTACAAACTGTTTTGTCCCGAGCTAATTTTTTCAAACTAATCTGCTAGCAATTTTTCAAAGTAATTTCTAGTAGGTTTGAAGGTTTGTGCATACAGTTTCTAATAGACTATGTACTACGGTACATGTAAAAATAAGCGTAAAGATATTGGTTAGATTGTTAGAATTGCTTATTTCTAAAACAGTACTCTTAATTTTTACAAGAGCTTCTAACGTATTTATTTTTTAAATTTTAAAAGCTAAATATCAAAATAAAAAAAATAACCAATAAAATAAATAAAATATTTACAGGACTTGACTTTGTCGGTTAGAAAACTTGCCAAATTTCTTGATGTAGACCTGACAGACGGTCAAGTGGAAGAAATTGTCAAAACATCGGAATTCAAAGCAATGAAAGAACAATTTAAAGGGAAACCAGTCGAAGCTCTCATTCGAAAAGGTGGGTTGTGTCCCTTCAACGCGCTGTTTGGTTTAGAAAACCGATTATTTATGTTAAGCTGTGTTGAATTATCGCTGGCAGAAAACTTAGATGATTTTGTCCCACATCAAAGACATGGCTTTAATAAAACTTTATTTTAACGGTTTACTTGTCTCTGTGACAGGTCGATTTGTTGAATGGTGTCTATGCCAACCACAAGTGAAACGTTAACATTTACAGGGACTAATATTTCTATAAAAATATTAACTTACTAATACTTGTAAGACATAAAATGAATTTTTAAAAGAAACAATATTTATATTAAATTTTTTACCAAACATAATTAAGAAAACAGACGTTAAACAATTTTATTATTTATCATAAGTTTGTATGTGTAGTTTGCGTTACGCATATTAAACGTATTTGATTAGTTAAGGTAAAATTTAATTGCAAAAATGTTATTGATAATTAAAAGAAATATGACGTTTTTACGACTTTAAACGTGTAGAGCAGGTGAAGTAGAGTTCATTTGTTCAGTTACCTCATTGGATAGTGTCAGTCATCAGTTTGATGCCTATCCGCTTTAACTCTCTTTAACAAATTACGGGTAGACTCGAACGACTTGTGGACTTGAACCTTTCGGGTTAGCAGTCGTGCGCTCTACCGTTCGACCATGTCACCCCCATGACATTTGATATGATTAGCTTGATGGTCGCCTGTTAATAGAGTACTGTCCTAATGTGCAGAGCCGTAGCGAGGGCGGGGCGGGGTGTGCGGGCCGCACCGGGTGACACCATTTAGAGGGTGACATCAATGCAAAAAATAGCAAAATGTTCAGAAGAGAAACGGTGTTGTTTTTTTTTCCAGTTCCATTAATGATTAATTAAAGTTAAATAATATTTTAAGTACAAATCGACAACTATTACTAGAGAGTGGTGGTAACACCATGACGTAAACGAGCAAACTATAGAGAATGTGGACTCGAAACCTTCGGGTTAGCAGTCGTGCGTTCTACCGTTCGACCATGCCACTCCATGACAGTTGATATGATTAGCTCTTACAAGAGATACCTGTCCTGATGTTGCAGGTGAAGTAGGAGACTGGAAGAACTGGTACACTGTGGCGTGGAGTGAAGAGGTGGACAAGTGGAAACCTGAACTGGACAAGACAGTCTTTAAATTTAGATACGTCTTAAGTTGAATAACTTCAATTCAGTTTGTTTCTGCCAAATTGTTTTTAAAATTAGATATGGCTTTAGTTAAATAATTCCAAATAAGTAGTTTCTACCAATTTGTTTTTAAATTTAGATATGTCTTAAATTAAATAAATTTAAATCAATTGTTTTCACCAATTTGTTTTAAATTTAGATATGTCTTAAGTTAAATAAATTTAAATCAATTGTTTTCACCAATTTGTTTTAAATTTAGATATGTCTTAAGTTGAATAAATTTAAATCAATTGTTTTCACCAAATTGTTTTAAATTTACAAATATCTTAAATTACATAATTTCAAATCAATACTTTCTACCAAATTGTTTTTTTTTTAATTTATATATGTCTTAAGTTAAATAACTTAGATCATTTGTATCATTTCTCATAAAATGTAATTTAGTTAAAATAAAATATGATTTCACTGGTGACAGGACAAATGATCTCAGGACAAATGATCCCAGACAAAATATCTCAGACAAAATATCTCACGGACAAATGATCTCAGGACAAATGATCTCAGGACAAATGATCTCACAGACAAATGATCTCACGGACAAAAGATACCAGGACAAAATATATCAGGACAAATGATACCACGGACAATTGATCTCAGACAAAATATCTCAGACAAAATATCTCACACCTAAATTGTAATAGTGTAGTTGATGATTTTAGTTGATCTGAAATTTTTTTATTGATTCTTATATGGTTTTGTTTACTATGTTTAATATTGTTTAAAGGCCTATATAATAATTGTAAGAAATGTTTGCCGTATACATTTGTCATATTGCACTAAATATTTTAAAGCTAGTATTTGTAATATAGTATACGAAGATTAAAGATTTTTTCGATAGACAGCGTAGGTGGGCTTGACAAACATTAGAAAATCCTACCATGTCAGGTGGACGAAACTAGATCAAAAGGAAATGAAATAACAATAAAGACACACCTTCGTATCAAGGTGGCCTTCCCTTTGATAGAAGAGACATGCCTTAAGGGAAAGACATCCGACCTCCATGGACAACACAACTAGCCTCTAAAGTCCATTGTTGTGCGTCGGTCACACCTTAGCGATCAGTGACAAATGCTTATTTAAACAAACAGCGGTCATCGCGGAGCTAAGTTTGTCGTAGGGTGCATCAAACAAAGCAGTATTAGTGGTGATTACTCAGCTAGCGCCTCTTTCGTTACCTCGCAGAAAGGTTTTAGGAATTCTGGTGAATTTATGTTTGCCATAAGCAGGCAAAGAGATTTGGAAATGTGAAATTAGGATATGTCGAGCAAGAGTTCACACAATAGATGATCACATAATATTGGAAAGGTGTGATCATATTGATGTAGGCTACCTGCCAGCAAAGAAACGTAAACATTATGTTTGTGTTGATGATGCAATAAAAACAATAGTTTAACGTTACAAACCTGAAGACCCTTTCACATTTTAAAAAAATATTTCGCGTGTTTTGAACCTTAATGTTGTATAATTATCGTAACTTTATTTGTTTTATACATTATCATTTATTATACCCTTGAGGCTAAAGGAGTAAATTTGTTATAATTTTTACTTTTTCAAATCAAATGCTACTACAAAGTTTAATAAAACTTTTGATGGTTTGTTAAGTTTAACAAATTCATTTTATTCACAATTGTTATGCGTAAAATAGTAAACAAAACCATATTAACAGTCAATAAAAAAGTTTAAATCATCTAGGGTCTTCGTACATACTATTAAAATTCCGCTGTGAGATATTTTGTCTGAGATATTTTGTCTGAGATCATTTGTCCATGATATCATTTGTCCTTATATGTTTTGTCCTGGTATCTTTTGTCTGTGAGATCATTTGTCCTTGAGATCATTTGTCCTGAGATCATTTGTCCTGAGATCATTTGTCCGTGAGATATTTTGTCTGAGATATTTTGTCTGGGATCATTTGTCCTGAGATCATTTGTCATGGAACCGATTTCACTATAACTTAATTTGTTTTGATTCTATTTTTTTTTTGGTAACTGTTATTATTTTTAATAATGTTTCCTTAAATATTTTCTTTGATTGCCAAGCATTCGATTGTACTTACTTTTAGCTTATACATGTGTATCTTTACGTTACTGAGATGCGTAGTAATTTTCTTAGAAAGTGGTTTGGAAATTAAAATGATACGTTTTAAAAACAAACATAAAGGGTTGTTGTTGTTTTTTTATTTTATAATAAAATACGTAACAATACTACATCGAATACTACTCAGCCCGAATGGATACCTGACCCCAGTATGCAAAGAAAAGACCTCAGTACTGGCTATACTCTCCCTTCATAAGCTAAATAGATTGACCTTATCTGCCTCGTAGACTTTTGAGCTATTTAAGACTACGTCCAGATATATATCAGAAGAATATATAAAGACATCTGGACATAGTTAACGGATAAAAAATGTCTGCTAATAATAATTACCACGTAGGTTCCACGGAATCAAATAAATCAATCAATACCTTGCAGAAAACCTTCATCGATACATCGGCTGTGCTAAACAACTTTTAAAAGAAAAAACATCGGGATTTCCCATTACACCTCTGCGCAAAGTATTGCTAGCTATTGGCGTACATGTTTGTTTAGTATCATTAAGATAAGATATATAGGCCCAATACCTTACTGTATTAAAGAAGAGTTTATGTTATAAATGGGAGCTATAAGTTATTCTAGTACAGTTAGCCTTATCTTAGCCTATACATAGGAAGGATTGTGTGAAAAGCCTTTTTATAGCTAGTAAAATATACTTCATTGAAATCAGCGCAGTTTGTTTTTCTAGATACGTGAACTTGTTTGGTTTTAGTTTATCTTGACGTGCAAGCTAAAGAGGTATGGTACGCTAAATCTTAAGTTTTTTGTCCATTATGTAAAACATTAAACTAATTTCTCATTTACATATTAGTGGGTTTTTTTAATATCTATATAAGTGTATAATTTACATTACACTCGTATTAATGTATTTTAAAGATACTCTTAAATGCGGCATTGTTTTGCTTTCTGCAGATCTAAAATGACCTATTACCGTTCAAACAGTGAGTTATTTGTTGTTGTTTTATCAAATTAATACTTGGAGGATTATTATAAACCATTATTTTTTGTAGAACGATGGCTGTGATTTGTGATATATATTGTGTTATTTTTAATCATTAAACTCGTTGATTGTATTGGTTTAAAAATATATTTCAGATTTTCAAAGCGAGGAAGATTTACGGGATAAAAGCATCACATGGCAGAACTCTGTAGCAGACTGTCAGAAAAACAACCGCGGCGAATACCAAACTCTAGCAGACGTGGAGCAGAAGTCGTGGGATGACCTTGAGAAGCTGGAGCTCCTGACCCAGATGTACCATCTGACCGTTTGTCTGAAGATCGACGTCTCGGGAGACCGGGTCTGCTACGGGTCTGGGTTTGTCCAGAGGGTCAGGACAACTTCAGGACAAGAGTGTCCAGACAAGACATGTGAGCTGAGGGGAAAGGAGAACCACAGCTGGGGTGTGATTACAATCTCAACTGTCAGTCACGTGATCAACTGTGGCGGATATGAAAACCTCACTGCTAAACTACACTACGATCACGAATACGATGTTTGTGAAATCATTTCCGGGTTTAGACAAACAGACTCTGACAATGACGATGATTGGTGTGCTATTGAGTGCCAATCTCATAATTTACGTCTTGCCAAAGAGCTGAAAGAAGGTCTACAAACCTACGAAAAACTTCTGAAAAAACTATACAACAGGTATAAAGATAGAGTTGGGGATATTCCTGTATTTGTTGTTGGCCACCCGCACGGAGGTCCGAAGAAGATCAGTTTTGGGTCTCTCAGTAGGGAAAGTGAGGCCTTAAGAGAGGTACGAGAAAATCAGCACTGGTGCCGGTATTTTTACACCAATGCGACTTGCAATGGCAGCAGCGGTTCGCACATCCACATACTGGGTAAAACTGTGTGTGGGTTCGGGTACTCGTTCGGTCACCCACACAACCACAGTGGGTACCTACAGAAAGTAGCGTGTGGCTGTAGCTCAATTGGAATCGATCATTAAGGCGGTTCGATGGTACGGCTATTGATGATATATAGACGGGGGGTGCGTGGTTATAAATAATACATAAATAAATGGCACAGGTAAAAATGACATGAAATAAAAGGCAAAAACAAACAAATGACACATATAACAAGTGATATAAAAAGCAGACAACAGACACCTGTAAACAAGAAACATGAATTTTTTTAGACAAAAACGTAGACTTTTAGACGAAGATGTTTTTAGATAACTTAAATGAAATATTTTTTTGTAAATGGTGGATTGCTTTTGTTATTTTAAAATTTTAACAAAATCTATCATTATGCTTAAATCTCTAAAAAATAATTCAATTAAATATGTATAGTTTCCATCTTTTTTCTTCTTTAATGTGTGTTCTAGAAAAATATTGAAAAATGATTGTGTTTATTCACCTTGTAAAAAGAAATCAATATACCTGTATACATGATAAAACGTGATTGTATTATAAAACGACTACAACTTGTTTTATTTCAGTAAAAGAATGAACATACAAAGCAACTAATTCATTCGTTTTTGTTTCGTTTTATTTTATTTTTCTTATTATCGTAAGTATTATTTTGTGTTGATTTCGCTGTGTGTTAGCAGTCATTTAGAAACACAACATTGCTAACCCGGAAATCTCAAGCTCTGGTTAGTACCCGACACGATTTGGGATTTTGTAGGCGATTTGTCATAATGCTGACTATACAGTAGCTTCAAATGACGAAGTCGAAGAAACATATTAACTTAACTTCGTCTACCTTACTATTATCAGTACTAAAATAAAATAAAAGGTAGTAAAGATTCCTCTTTAGACCTCTTCAGAACTAGAGATTCATTGGGCAGTTCATATGTGCTGTGACCTCGACATTCCAAGGGATAGTGTGGTCAGCACTATATCCAGACGCCTTTACTTTAACGAACGTGAGTTAGGTACCCATCAGAGCTGGTTGGACTCTAAAATCGTACTATACAAAACAAAAATTACCACTGGTGTAGAATCTACAGCTTTTTTTTAATGTACACATTTCCTCTATATACTTTCCTTCCCTTGATGAAAATGTGAGAAAAAATACCCCTCCCCCCCCCCCAGCGGCTTAGCGAGGTCGGGTGTCAACCGGTGCGGCACTTAATGGTGTCACCCCCCTGAGGCGTAGCGACAGGGACAAACTTTCAATTTTCGATTTGCACCCCCCCCCCCCTCAAACTTTAGATTTGCACCCCCCTCCCTCAAGCTTTTGATTTGCACCTCTTAAAAGCCTATCATTTTTCTCTATATATTTTGCTATTTTTTGCCTTGGTGTCACCCCCCCCCCCCCTAAATGGTGTCACCCGGTGCTGTCCGCCCCCCTTTTGCTACGCCTCTGCCCCCCGCCCCATGTTGCAACAACAAGGAACATTAACTTCGCTGAGGTATCAGGTTACAGTGTCACCTTCGTATATTTGTATATACGTCCAAAGCTTTCAGTCATACACTGTTTTATATTCCACAACAGCTGGGCTTACACCCAAGTAGTGAAGAAAATATATTTTGTCACGTACATGTAGCCATGATCACGTGGCTTGCTGATGTTAAAATAGCACAACATACTATAGCCGTTTCTTTTCTGAGAAAAATGTGAATAATAGTAACATACATCTCTCCGGGGGGTGGGGGAGGGAGGGACGTAGAAGTCAAATTATACAGCTTGCGACTAACAACCTTCGAATCCTGGAATCGAGTCTGTTGAACTCTACTTCATCTACACCACTGGCACGAATGGGGGAAATATCACTTTTTCGGGCCCCTCCCCTCCTCCTTCCCCCCACAACCCCGAGTACGTCTCTTAACCAACATGTCTATTCTAAATTAATACACTGCAAATCCCTATATTAAAAGCATTGGATATTAAACAAGAGAATAATACGACAAAATCTAGTGAAACTTTACCAACAATAGTAGTCAATAAAATGTATAACTGTTGTATTAGATCGATATTGATCTTTTGGAGTGGATCTTGAAACATTTTGTCAGTGTGTCGTCTACAAATAAAACCGTGTCATATAACAATCGATAAACCACGTGTTGTTCAATACAAAATCGCGCAACACAAATGACAGCACCTTTATTTTTAGTTTTCTCAGAAAAATCATGGACTTAAAAAAAAAAAAGATAAGTAATTTCCGATATTTCTTTTTTTTTTTAAAGAATTTTTTTCCGATATTTCTGTTGAAAATGCTCAACTTTATATCATTTGAACACATTTTAGGTGGAATACATAAATCTTGTTTTGTTATATATTGTGTTTTTAGTCCTTTTAATCGATCGTGAAAAAGACGTTTTCTCAGGCCCTCCATGTCGGCCTGACCTATCTTGGCACCAAACGACACGTCAGCTGCAGCCTGCCCTCTGTTGGCACCGATGGATACGTGACGTATTCACGAGAAACAAACTTTGTTCGGGAATTTCTGGTTTGAACAGCTACATTGTATATATAGTCATGCAATACAAACAGATCAGAAAAACAAACCGCGCATCAGAATAGGTAACAAACGTAGCTAGAAACTTAGGTAGAAAAATTCTTTTGACTTGACTTCAAGTCAAAAGTTCAGTTATGAAGCAAACAAGATTTGATTTAATTTTTATTAAAGTGTAAATGTTAGCTTTTAATTAATTTAAAAGTAATTCAAACTAATAGGAGTGTTCAGATACTTCAGCAGTTATTTGAATAAGATATGATTCACGTTGAAGTTATTACTTGACGAACTGTGAACACATGTTAACGGTCTGGGAATTAGAAGGATGAGTTCAACGACGTATAGAAATTGTAAGTAGAGCTGGTTCAATTAAAAGGATTACAAAATTTTGTAAATCCTTTTAGAAAACTTTTTAATAAACAATCTAAAGGTAGCTTTTTTCTCAGGAATATTTTTTGTTTCTTACCAATTACAAATTAGGGGGGGGGGGAATTGAAATTTAAAAAATTTCATTTCAGTTTTTTTTTTATGGCGATTTGGTACTAGATATATTCTAGTTGAAAACTTTAGTTTTGGCGGATTTACTTCTTTAATGTTCTTTATGGCATAACCCCAAAAAAGTAAATTACTTCCCTTTTTTTCTCTCTCCATAACAACCGATGACGTCAGCACGTCACTGTTCATTGGCGGACAAAAATAGAAATCGGGAATCCTATTCTTTAGTCAAACGTTTATTTACATAGATAGTTTATAGGCCTACTTTGATAAAGACGGCTGGATCTGTGAACAACTTCTGCGCTTAAGTGACTTTATCAAGCAAATTCTTGGCATAATTAATTATTCTTATTAGATGAAAATGTTTTCTACATTGCTGTCATAGAATTTTTCAAGCTTAGTTGTTATTCTCACACAATATTTAAATGTGTGCAAGTTGAACCGTTTAAAAATTATGTTATAAACGATGTAGGTAGGATAATGTGTTAGATAATATATGTATCATTAACTTTGTATAGATCTATGTTTTGTTTTTCGATTTTTTTCAATTTTTTTTTAAATTGATTTTTTTTAGGTATGAACAAAAAAATGTTTTTATTTTAGATAAAACAGAGGAGGAGGTCAGGGAAGATGGGGTGGAGTGGCAAGACTCGGCGTCACAATGTACTAAAAATAACCACCACCTGTACACAACAGTGGCGGAGTTCGAGTCCCACCTTGACCCTCATTACCGCAGCAATCACAAGATCCCGCGACTCATCCGCCACACGGCTCTGCTCGTGGTGATGATTCGAACCCCGTGCCTAGGTCCGAACGGTGCATTAAGTTTCCGCTATGGCAGCGGGATCATTCAGAGGGTCAGGATAGAGAAGCGTCAAGAATGCCCAGTCAAAAATTGTAAGACATGTTCGAGGAATCGAGAGTACGGAATCATAACCGTGACGACAGTTCTTCATGTTATTACGTCACAAAGTGACGCAGAAAAGACTACAGCACTGTTGGACTTTGATGACGAAAACGCAAAGGGTAGACACCTGCAAGGTTTTAAGCTGCAGGAGACAGAGAAGGATGCGGGTGAGTTGGACTGGTGTGCGGTAGAGTTTTACACCCATGACTTGGTGCTGGTGAGCGAGCTAAAGACAAAACTGGCGGATTATCACAAGCTTCAAGCTGAAGTTTACTCAGAGTTTAAAGACAAGGCCAACGGTTTAGTCATCGTTGTTGGTCATCCGCATGGCGGTCCGAAAAAAATTAGTTTCGGCGAAGTCGGGAAGGAGAAAGGGAAGGAGATTAAGAAAGACGTGAGAGAGCAACAGGAATGGTGCCAGTACAGGTACTCTACGGCCACCTGCCCAGGTAGCAGCGGGTCCACTGTGTACATCCTGGGTCAGCCGTTGTGTGGGTACGGGTACTGGTTTGGTCATGGGCACAACCACAGCGCTTTTGTGGAGGACGCGAGGTGTGGGAGTAGCTCAGTGGGGGTGGATAATGTGGTTAGGTAGGCGGGTGTAGAAGGGAGACAATTATAGGTTGATGACTAAAGGGAGAGAATTTTAGGCCAGTAACAGAAGGGAGACAATGTTAGGCCGGTAAAAGAAGGGTGACAATTAGTAAGCAAAAAAATATATCGGAACGACTTTAAAACTAGATTGACGATTTTTTTAAAGCACTAACATATAACACTGAGAAGTATAAAACTAAAAATAACATTAAATGCTACTCTTAAACAGGGGCGACAACCAAACAGGTTTGTGAATAAACTAAGCGACAACTAAATAATTATACAACGTGATTATAAGTTTTTTTACAGGGGTTAATTAACTTAAAACAGCTTTGAAACACCTTTCAAAATGTGTAAAAAAAATATGTAAGTATATATGTAAATATATTTCTCGCAGTATTAGAAAGGCTGGAACCAATGGCTTTTTACTATCGACAGATGTTAATTGATTTGAATATTATTATAGTTATCACTGAACTCATCATTGTGATCTTTTGTATTACTTTCATGTTGGATTATTTAAATAATACATGTATTTTTGTAAAGCACATTGTTAAAAAGTGATTTAGCTTAAAAGTTACAAGCTAGCATTAATTACTTATTTCACTTTAAGTTATGGTAGTTTACCAAATATTTTGAATAATTCTTGATTTTTGTTTGTTTTTTTTTTTTGTTTTTTTTTTTTTTTTTGGATTCCGTTAATATTTCTAAAAAAATTTAAACTCAAGATGATGTTTCGAGTTTCTAAAATTGTATTTTATTGTTAAAATTAATTATACGCCTTTAACACGTCTTCGCTAAGGATGGGTTAGGGTAAGACTGCGTGCGTGTATTTTCTGGCTTGATCTCTTTATCAGGTGCTGACGTGTTTTCCTGCGTGTAGGGGGACTTGGTACACGCGTTGTACGTGTCCCTCCATGTTAGGTCGACACTCCTCACCTCCTCCTCCGTGATAACTGTAAGTAAAGGCTTGGATAGTTAGGACAGGGCTGAGACTTTATACAGGCAGGGTTTCTTTCAGACTTTTTCCCGAGGGGGCACTAGAAATTTTCGGAGGGTTAGACTACATTTTTCGGGGAATTGGGCACTGGTAAAAGTGTATATTATCTATATAAATTATATTTCTTTCGGGGGGGGAGGGGGTATGAGGCGGGGGATAAATGTTCTTCTGGGCTTAGGGATACCTGAAAGAAACTCTGCCTACAGAACAGTGATGAGAATTTTTTATATTAATAGCACGCTTTTAATCAAATATACTATAATTCACACCCTCAAAATATTTTGCGCACAAATTTAATCGTATGTAGTACTTGAGATTTTATTTCAAACGTAAACGACAAAGAAAAAAAATTGTAACTAGTATTGTGTTATGTGCTGTCTCTCCCAATAATAAATTGTGTATTACCTATCAATAACAAAACATATGTATAACAAAAGATACTTATATTTTCATGCTTATTTTCAAGAAAATCTAATCTGTATCAAACTTGTTGTAACGTATATAAATAGATCACGAAGCAATGTTGTACCACTATTCTGTTATAGGCCTATTGAATGTTACATCAAAGAACCAGTCTTGTTTAACTAACAAGAACAGGCTGGTAAAATATATTAAAATATTTTAAGCTTACATAAGTACGTTAGACATTATCAAAATTGAACACCTCAAATCGATACTTACAGTTTTTTATATTCCTAGAATACGACATTATTATGTTAAGTAGTTAAAGCTACTATAAATAGAGCTGAAATGATGGTATAAATAACAAATCAGAAATTCAGTATTTCTTAACCGACATGTCAAAATGGCGACGTGCTGTTACGTGTAAATGCCGGTCGGCGGGGGAGACACGAACGGAAATTCCCGGAGTTGCCTGTGATGTTGTTAAGTTTTTGTAGCGTTTAAAAATGCTTTACGCACGACACCGTAGGCATGAAGCTTTAGAGTGAGTAAAATAACTTCTGTTGAGTGTTGCGTAAACCTAAATCTCGTATTCACGTGTATGGACTAAAATATATACATGGGAATGTAAGCCTATCCATCAAGAACATTATTACAAGAAATTTGCTAAACAATTTTTAATATAGTTTAATAATAAAAGTTTCCATCACATATTTGAATCAGAAAATTTGAATCAGAAGATTATATTTTGTTCTAGTGGTTCCTGGGATTATCTATAACTCTATTATGGATTAGGGTACCCAAAAAACGTTAGTGTCTACTAGTTTGCTGTACTCTGTACGCTTTTACTTTGAGGTTTGATGTATGACTTTAGTGGTGATGGAGATTTGATATATGACTTAACTGTTGAGTGAGGTTTGAGGTATGACATTACTGTTAATGCAGATTTGCTGAATGACTTTATTGAAAGGATATTATTTGGAGTGTGAATTAATACAATATTTTGTGAATAATTTTTACTCTGTATTGCGACGTTAGCTTAAGTTTGTGATAAACATAATTAATTGTGATATTATATATAAATACATATATATATATATATATATATATATATATATATATATATATATATATATATATATATATATATATATATATATATATATATGTGGCTCCGTAGCCTAATTAGACCATTTAATGATTGCGCATTGGAAATTTCAAGCACAAAGCCTGGACCCCAAGATGATAAGAGCTAGATACCAATGCACTAGGCCCCATCTTTCCATACAGCTAATGGTTCCAAGGGACAGGAGAATATATATATATATACATATATATATATATATATATATATATATATATATATATATATATATATATATATATATATATATATATATATATATGCACTACTTAGCTGTTAAGGCACCTTGACCTAGCTGAATCGATCCAAAGATTAGAAGTGACACACGTCTGTGTATTACTTACATGAAGCGTGTTACGACACACAGCAACAACCACTGAGAGATTGATTGAGACATTTCCAGGAAAATTTGTTGGTGCCTGTCGTGTCTGGCACTAAACCAAGTTCTTACCTGTCACGTTTAAGGTACCGGTCCACAGAAAAGGTACCGGGTCTGTGGTCATGGTACCGGTATTTGATGTGAATTTTGTTTAATCAGTGCATTATTCATTCAGGATATTGTCTTTAAGATACGAACTAGTAAGTTTCAATTTCATAGGGTTTTTTTTAGATTTTATTGTTTGTAATATTTCTATAGATTTTAAACAATGGTTTAAAATATAATATATAACAAGCAACTGGTACTTAAGAAAAGTGTATTATTGTTGGTTTTCTTGCTGTTATTTTTTTTTTTGTAAATTCGTTCATAAATATAACGTGTTGATATTTGAAAAGGTCGTTAGTGTTACGTTCAAAGATTTAAATATTCGCACGACTAAGCAAATCGGCAAAAATGTTGGACTTGTTGTTTAGATCCCCCACCATAAACTAAATTAAGAACGCAGAAGAAGAAGGAGTTAGATTGTGTACGTTATTGCTCGAATTATCTTTATTTGTTTAATCTTCTAGTAGAAATTTACCGGCAGTCATATTTTATTTTTAGACACGCGTGGATGTATAAAACGTTAACCATTTCATTATAACACACGGACAAACAACATTAAAAATGGAGAAAACAAGTACAAAAGAATGTGAGTATAAAAATATTTAACATAGAAAAATTTGGGTGAAACACAGTATTATTTAACATATTTAATACCTTTTCGTTTTAGTTAAAGTATTTTGAACTGGGACACCATTTCAAAAATAATTATTTCCATTTATATTTTTACAGTGGTACACTTATCTTGATATTTTTTCCTAACATTGTTCTTTTATTTTTAGACGTGACAGAAGAAGAGATACGAGATGAAGACGACAGCTGGGAAAATTCCTCAGCTTTATGTGCTAAAAAACATAACCACGACGCATACGTTAGTGTGTCGAACTTACCGGAAAATTTTCCGGAGAAATTCCGGCACCGTGGAAACTTAATTTCACTGGTCCAGTCTTTAGTTAAGCTCGTGGCTTACATAACCCTAATCAGGCAGACTACAGATGGAGCTAAATCAGTTCACGGAAGTGGTATGGTTCAGCGCGTGCGCAGACAGCAAGACAGGAAATGCCCAGACCGGAAGTGTACAAATCCAGACAGTCACGTGTTTGGGATTGTAACCGTGACAACGGTACTGCACGTGATCAGTGTACCGGAAGATGCCGAGAAATGTAAGGTTATTCTAAATTATGATAATGAATCGGGTTCAGCTATAAGAGAAATACAAGGACTCCGGCTATTGGACAATGATAAAGACACGGGAGCCCTTGATTGGTGCGCCATTGAATGTTACACGCACGACTTAGAGTTGCTAAAACAACTAGAAGACGATATTAACAAATACGAAGATCTACAGAGTAAACTATTTCACGAGTTTACATTAAATCAAGAACAAAATAGTCGAGGAAACGAAAACGTAGAAGATAAAGACGAAAAATTTATGGTCGTTGTGGGTCATCCACACGGAGGTCCGAAGAAAATAAGTTTTGGTGAAATCCTTGACGAGAGAGAGAATTTGAAGGAGGTCAGAGAGCAGCAGGAGTGGTGCCGTTACTACCACACGGCCGCCACCTGCCCGGGTAGCAGTGGATCGCCGCTGTTCATTCTAGGACAGCCACTGTGTGGATATGGATACTGGTTCGGTCATCCACACAACCACAGCACTTATGAGAGGGGGTGTAATCGTGGACGTAGCTCAGTGGGGGTGAACCACAAACCTCTGAATTGATTGTGTACATTTTATTTTTAGGTATCTACATAAAGTATTTATTAATTGTGTGCACTTTATTTTTAGGCATGTATGGGAATTACATGAAGTACTCAAAACACAGTAGAATAATAGTGTACAGTTTATTTATTTAGGAATTTATTAAGGAACCTACATCTAGTATTTATAAGTCAAAGTAAAAAATGTGTGCTGTTTATTTTTTTACTTATCTTGTATTCAATTACTACTTAACACTAAAGTTGAAAACTGTGTAACGGTTGCTTTTTTTTTAATCGTTGTAATTCATTTTATAGAAGTGGAAGTTTTTATAGAAGTTTTTTATAATGTTGATGCGTTTTAAAATATTAAAATATATCACAAAGAAAATGTCTTTTTGTTTTTATTTACTATTTTTCAAAAACATTTGATATAACCCTGATGGCCAAATCAGTCATTTTGTTTCCATTCAACTTAATTTGTTTACATAATATCACCTACAAAAGAGAAACTCACACTTATCTCATATTGAATCAATTTTCTAAAAGACTTAATTACATTGAGTCTATTTAGAGTGTTGCATA